GAGCCTGTTTCGAGGATAAGCATCTCAAACCATTCTCTGATTTTTATACCATAAGAAGGGTTAAGATTGTTGCATAGATAATATCGGGCTATTGTATTTGGGTCATCAGCCATATGGATATCTTCTATTATTATGTCTTCAATGAAAGCAGTTACTTCATATTGGGATTTAACAGTAGGTTTTTTAGGTATGGAGGATTGTAAGAATAGTGGTGTTTGTGGAGATGATGGAGGTTGGCTAGAATATGTAGGATAGACTGGACTATTCGGGTTGCTTGGAGAATATGGTGTCAAATTTCTAATTGGTGAAGGTGATGAAGTGGCTGGAACTAAATCCATGGTCATATCCATTGGCATTTTGCCTCGATTATTATTATTAGTATTCATATTTTTGTTAAACAGGATTAATGCTAAAGAAAGTTCTTCATGGTCAGAGTGATCTGTTCTGCCCCCTACAAAACTTCACGGGTAAGAAAGTCAGGAAGATGATTAGAAGTACCATATAAGTGTTCAATAGTGAAGTCAAATGCAGAGAGAATGGCTTGCCAACGGGCAAAGATCTGTTTGGAAACTAAATTTTGCACATCTTTTAGAAGAATGTCTTTAGTAGCTTTATAGTCAGTACGGATAAGAAATGTCGTATTTAAAATATCACTTTAAGACTTAGTAACACAATGAACTATGGCTAAAATTTCTTTTTTAACAGTGGAATAATTCTGTTGAGTAGAATTACATGCTTTAGATGTATATCTTACTAATTGTTCTTGGGAATTACGTCTTTTTTTAAGGATTCCTCGTAATCCTAATTCTGAGGCATCACACTCAATTATTTTAAAAGCATCTGGATCTGGAATTGAAAGACAGGGTAATTCCTTAGATTTAAGTTTAAGTTTACTGCTTCAGTATGAATATCAGTCCACTTGGAGGATTCTTTTTTAGTCTATCATATAAGGGTTTTGCATCTATTGCTAGGTTTTTATAAAAATCTACTATATAATTAAGACATCCTAAAAATCTTTGTTGTTCTTTTTTGTCTAATATAATATATGAGAATTTATCAGCAAATTGAATAGTTCTATCTATGGGTATGATTGTTCTTTGAGATATATTGTGTCCTAAAAATCTAATTTTTGTTTGAAATAAACTCATCTTTTTTGCTGAAACAACTATTGATAAATACATTTATATGTTTTATATGTTGTGGTATATCTTCAGAAAAAATTAAGACATCATCAATGTATACTATCATAAATTTTAAATAAGGATTAAAAACATCATTCATGATCCTTTGGAATTCAGATGGAGCATTTTTTAATCCAAAGGGCATGACATTCCTTTCATATTATCCAAAAAGGACATTAAAAGATGTTTTGTATCTATCTTCCTCTTTTATTTGGATTTGCCAATATCCAGATTTTAAATCGAACTTTGAACTATATCTTTCTTATGT